ATGATAATCTATGCTAGCCTTTACATTTTACTGACTTAATTCCTCAGACCTTACAACACTACCGGTCTTCTCGAAAATCTCCCCATCTAGGGACATATCTCCTGATTCCCAGATTCACAAAAAATCCCCTGATTTATCAGACTTGAACGCGTGGCGATAAAATGTTTTGCTAGATCTTGTTAACACTCAGTGAAATGCGCCTAGTAATATATTCAATGTGCCATCACTTAATTGCTTTCGCGGTTTCATTAATTGACGAGAATAATTGTAATAAGCAAGAATGAGGAAATGCTGAAGACACAACAACACCGGGGGATATGTGTCACTTTCTCCCTTAACATTTTCTATGATGCTGTCAAAGAAAAGGGATCAGAGATAGCGATCATGTAAAACGCTGCTGCTTTACAGGTGGACTTCTTAGTTTATCATTTTAATGCCCCCCTCCCCCAGCAGACCCAACTTGAGGAACGGCATATAGTAGCTACAGTACAGTGGGGGACATAGTAAACACCGGGTGATTCGTTAAAGCCAAGAAATGTCTCAATATCAAATATGAATATCATATGTCATAAAAACACTACAATCAAGTATTTTTGTTACGATCTGTAACATTTATGTAGCAGTTCGAAGTTAGCGCCAGAGGTAAATAGTAACTCATTCCGTAATCCTTCTTGCACATTTATTTAATTGTATCAAAACGTTTGATACACAATGTTCACTAGTGTCATCATTTTGGCGATTTATTAAAACCATATTTGTACAAAGTAGGTTAGCATAAGTTATTCAACAACCAGTGTGATTCTGTGAAGAACAACTCCCTTTTTATGTGAGGCAAGACAACCTATTCAAACTGATTATAACCTTGATAAAGACACAAGGCAAAGGAGTTATGTAAACTCACGTGTGAAAACACATTCTTTGTCACTTTTACAAGACAATGGAGGCGACCAAGTGGAGTAATTACAATATAGGCCTACCCCTGTACAGTCAAAGAGAAATTAGTTTTGAAACTTCGGATCAGCCCTTTGCTTGTTCGAAGAAAAGAGATAGATGTCGCGACGCGAATCCTTTTATTAACCCTTCATGAGTTTGTGTAAAAGTGTGAAAGACAGGCAACGATTTTGAGTCGCTGTTGATATTATTCGCAATTAATATTGCAGTATACCTCCCTCGCCTACATGTAAACATCAGACAAGGCGTTTAGATCGATAATAGTGGAGGTTAATCTGAAAAATATGTTTAAATTCTTGATTTTTATTATTTGAAACATCTCATACACGTCCTCATATTTATATTTCTCTCAGGCCATACTGATTTTATTGTATTACACGGGACTCTGAAGCACAGGGCAATGTGAAAGTTAATTGGCTACAGAGACTTGTTATCCTTCATGCAGTTTTATAGCTTGGATGAACTAGAAACAGGCTTTACTTAGCTTTACTTATTTTACGACAATTTAAACAAAATCAGTCTGCAAGACTTGCTTTGACTTGGTGTTTTATCAGGTTAAAACCTGACAATGGTTTTAAAAGAATAAATATAAGTATGTTGGATGGATTAAATCACCGACATCGTTCTATTTTAACTTAACGTGGTCATTTACACAGATAATATTTATAAGTTGCCTGTCGTTCAGCATGCATTATAGGCGAGTAGCCAACAGTGACGATGATCAATCCAAGTAAAATATAGGCAAGTATTGTTTACAAAATAGATCATGATGAATAAACCTATGCTTTAATAAATAATCACCACACGGTTCGTTTTTGTTACATGAAAGATTTTGGTTTGAAGACGCTCAGTGATATCAGAAATGATTTGACGCTTTAAAAAATGGACAGGTTCAAGGGGCATTTTTTGTTTCAGCCAGGGGGACTTCAGGTAGATGATTCAGTGAAGGTGTTTCCTCGGATGATAGCAGCATCACACCCTAGGTCTAAGCGAGTTGACTAGAAGCTTTTTGCCCAGGCATCCTATTCCTACTACTTTAACTAATAACCATAAACCACAAAGGTTTATGCGGTAAAAACTATTTAAACTAAATGAGGCGCATTGGCAGAGGCACAAGTACAATCCAACGCCAACGTGCAACAAGGGGAAGTCTGACAGTGTATTACATAATATATGAAAGTACGGTCAATATTAACAGTGTAAGACATCAGTTAAATAGTAGGGGGTCATACTATCTATTGTTAAACGCGGCTGTTATTATCTCTCGAACAAGCTTAAACCATGCCTAAACAATAAACTGTGTCTCCGGCTGTCGTGCCGAAACTGCATGTCGAACATATTTTGCTACAGTTACAAACAGGGTTAACTGGCGGCTTGTTCTAGATCGCTCTAGTAAGAAGGCATAAGTGCGGTACCCGGGCACAAACAACTATAACATTCATATCTTAGCGTTTACATATGACGCGCAAAGAGCTAAGCAATTAGCCTTGACAAGTTGATCCGTTTTTAAACAACAACGAGAAAAAAGAACGCATTGTCATAGTTATGAGACAAATCGCTTGCAACGTGCAACAAGGGGGATGTCTGACAGTGTGGTCACACTACATGTTTATGAAAGTACGCTGGATTCAACAGTATTAGACATCGCGCAAAGAGGAGGGGGTTTACTATAGCCCGCAATCTATTGTTAAACGCGATCATTATCTTTTCTCAAACACATATAAACCAAACCTAAACAAAAACATTGTTAAATCAGCAAAGTGATGTAAAATCATATTGGAAATTTACGTTGACGACGGAGACTGTTTCATTCGCAAAGTTAATGAAACAAGACGGGTCCAAGTTAACTACCCATATTGAATAAATCTTAGACTGTTAAACCTAAGGTCCTGCGTACTTTGGTAATAGTTAATGAGTAAGCTAGGTTTATTCACATATATCACAAAGCACAAGGGCGTTATGCTGCAAACAACCCATTCTGAACGCAATCGTCATCGCTCCCGAACAACCTGAAATCATGCCTATACAATAGTAGGAGATGCACGTCGAGTAAAAGATTCAAGACCTGAGTGCCCAGCACTATTATAAAAAAAAAGAAAATGACTTGACGTTTCATGCACGATCATCATCGAAAGCCTAATATCATTATGCTCCATGCGCAGTCGATTTTTATCAAAATAAGAAGTGTGTTTCATACAAGCAAAATCTAACTTTCCTTTTTAACTTTCCTTTATAAGTGTTACCGAACAGCGACATAATTACATAACATTTATCTATTTTTTATTTGATTCTTAATGTCATCTAATAATTTACTTAATTCTTTGAAAAATTTATTTATTTATTTATTTATTTATTTATTTATTTATTTATTTATTTAAGACTTTCTATTATTTACCCTGTTACGGATTCGCTCTATTATTTTATATAAAATGTGACTTGTCTCTTTCTTCGTTATTTCTAAACAATATTCTATTTTTACACAGGTCGCGATGATGGAAATTTGTGTACGGAGCATCTTTTAACTTTTTGAGACGGGGTGATTTGTTGATCATGCTGATGTACGATGCTGATGCATGTTTATCAAATTCAATTTTTGACCACAGAACACTTCATATTGAATTAAATAACTGATACTAAATTAAACTAGCAGTTTTCTTGCAACACTTAAAACATGATCAGCTGCACCTGCCAAGCTAGTGAACATAAGGATAGGTGGCCACGGGAGTGGCACGCGTTAGCATGGGTTCTAGCATCTTAAAGCTATAATCCTATCGCCGCAACAAACAATGGGCACCTTCTGGCTGATGTATCCTGCTGTTAATTACACCTAGACACAGCGGATGGTCGCGCTCGCGCTGGACCACAGAAACAGGCGTCGTGGGGTTCAGTCGTCTAAGGTATTGTGTGTTATTACGCCTAAACTATTGTGTTTTTGCGTTAGAATTTTAAAGGGATTAGACTGCTTTCCATTGTTTGTCCGCCCCCTTCTATTCACAGGATAGGGATTAAAACATTCTGACGTTTTTAAAACGTCGTACAACGGAAACTTAATTTTTACTACTACTGTAATGTACTTTTTTCATTTAGTGTGGCAAATAAAAAGAGAAATATTTCTGCAAGTGGAAACTGACAATGACTGTCTAATTACCGGTGTAATGTTGTTCTTTAAATCTGTGCTTGGTTATTTCATGCAATAAAAGTATTATTACCAAATACTTATTACATTAGATCATTATAAAATACTTGTCTTAAATTCTGGGAGTAGTATGGGTGTGATAAAGCCTCAACAGCCTTTTATAATAAGGATCCTTGTACAGAGCACAATGGGGTCATAGATGACCCCACTTGGTCATTTCAGTCAGTAAAATAGCTTGGTCTCTTGAGGGTTAAAGCACGTATGAGGGCGATTGAGCACAATTCATGAATTTCCGCGATGGTTGCGAAATTTACAAATTTCCGACCGCGACGTCATCTCAGCGCACGCGCTCCGTTCTGAATATTTACCTACGCGCAGCCAGTTGCCATATGACTGCAAAACTACCGTCTTTCACTTCATGCAAATTTGTGACCTGGAAAAAAATCCAACCTAACAAACCGAATGTCGACTATTTCACCTGGTGCCCCCCCCCCCCCCCCCCCCCCCCCCCCCCCCCCCCCCCGCGGGGGGGNGACCAACTATGTGGTGAAAAAAACACACCTTTATCCCCGACGTTTAATTCATCGTGTAGATAGTTTGAGTAGCCGAAAGGGTTTTAATAGAATCGGATTCGTCCGAACTCGTTGTTTGGAACAATTAAAATGAATTATGATTGATACCTAAGGTACATAGCTTATGAATTATATCAGCAAAAAAAAAAAATTCAACTACGAGAACCAATATGTAATCCTAAAATCACAACAAGATCAGGGGCCAGTTCACCAGTTCATAAAACTGTTCAACTGTATGTTATAACTGTATGTACGTGTGCGCTCGTTTGCATGAGTGTGTCCAGTTCCTTAATACGGACTGAAGGCTAGGCGTTGTTCCATCATTCACGTGCCTTCTGAAGTCAGCGAATTAGATTGTAGTTCTGAAATATGAATATAATACGTTAATAACGCAATCAATTATTCTAAGGTGATACATGCATTCATTTAGACTGAATAAACTTCAAATGAAAAAGTATTGTTGATATTGAAAGAATTAGCATTGGCTGAGCATCAAATTTATAAAGAAATTTCAATAAAAAGATAAAATTAGAATAAAAGGAGCAAAAAAGAAATATAGAGATGTATATTTCTGAACACATGTCAATAAATGTGATATTTGTCTCCAGCACTTTAAAACAAATGGCCAGGAAAAAACGTAAAAGTAAAAACTACCACCTTCGTTCATGTGATTTAGCTTCAAATTAAAAAAGTAAAAGGATTTTAAAAGCAATCTAATATATATATATATATATATATATATATATATATATATATATATATATATATATATATATATCAGCTATTAGTGCAGATACTCAAAGTTTAACACTAGTAAATTGAACAAATATCGAAGAAATGTCTACAAAATACATGTGACAGAAACTGGACAACTAAATATGACAGTTTACATGCATCCGCATTCTTCGAGTGTCCAGCGACGGGGTGCCATCGAGTTTTTAAATATTTTAAAAAATGGTCACCATACAACATCCTTCGTACGTGCTTACGGGCTGTCTGCGAACTCGAAATTACGTAAGAAGGACTTGCGTGGGACGTGAGATTCTGCTCAAAATTTAGAAGCAAACAGCCCGTAAGAGCCCGCACGGCCGGTTGTGACCGAGGCTTAAAATAGTTGAACCTGTGTTGAACTCTTTCCCTTTCACATTTGATGATTTATAAGGCGTTACAATTTATGAAGATTTAAGTTTAATTAACTTGACTTAATTTTGTTGCATGTTTCCTTATTCTCACAACTTGGGTGCTAAATCACATGGACGGCTGTGCTGCCAACGCTTTGCTATTCAAGGAAGCAGCAAGGAGGGTGTACGACAACTGTACTGACACTGAAAGGGGTCCGTATGGTTACTTTTATCTATCGTTTTTGGTGTTTTGATATCTTCTCATGCTTTCCCCAGAGCTTTTATTACCTGCATTATGTATTTTATATTTTATCGCATTAGCAGTCGCTGTAGAAGCAATTAATGCCGGCTATGTTTAATCTGTTAAACGTACATGGGTTCTGTTGTCTTATAATATCTGGTTATATTATTTATATTTATTTATTTATCTATCTATTTACTTTAATAAATATATAGCATATAAAATTTTGTTTTATCATGATATAAATTAATTATTGGACCTCAATGTTTTATCTGCTTATCAGTCGGGTAAAACGTATGTACATATTTTAGCTAGAAAAGCGCAGTTGTTCCATTCTTAAAATATTCCAACTTCAAACAGAATATGATTACTTTTGTTACACATTGAATTGATGTGTTGGTCGCGGAATTGATATTTATGTTACTGCCTTATATGTCTAAAGATGATCGATTTTACGGGAACACAAAGTTAAATGAAATTGGATGCTTTGTGCGTACAGTAATTTGTGCTTTAATGGATTTCACTTGTTTATATCCCCTTGGTAAAATAAGAGAACTCAGCAAAGACCATTAAGGTGATTGATTATATCATGTTTTCATACATTTGTTATCCTACATTACGGAACGAACTCTCCAGCACCATTTAAGGTAAAAGATGTGATAACATTTTGTATAGATCAGTTCATTGTTTTTGAGCGACTTTAGTTTGCTTGTCACTGAATGTTTAAAAAACGAGGAAAATACACCCTACCGACAGTACATTAAGCATTAAATAAATTATTTTTTCACTCGTGATCCAAATATTATATCAGACATGTCAACCTACATGTATTATGGAATCACAATATACTTTTCGATCAGCAACAGAAAACAATGCATTGAA